TGACCCTCCTGCAGACCTTAACCCTGACCCTGCCCACCGACGTAACACCAATAACTATTAGAACAGCTATAAAAGCATGTCTTTGGGGAGTGTGGGCTTTGTTTCTACCCAGAGTGATTGGTTGATCAAAAAGAGAGAGAGAAATTGAAGAGTCCCTGGCCAGCATCCTACCGCTCATATGCACTGTCACTGTTGTTCAATGAAAGGGCGTCCGTCTCAGTGGTGAACGGCCACTGGTTAAGGAGCAAAGGCTGGCTTTCCTCGCCATGCGCTGGTCATGTGAACTAGCAGAGACAGACTTCCACTTCTTAACCAGCCATTACTCGCCTCTGAGATTTCCACGGTTCAACTTAATGCTGGTGCGCAAGGATAACAGGTCCCGCCTACTGTATTAAGACATGACAACTCAAGTTTCTGCAGATTCGTTAGATTTCGGCAGCATGCCTCTGCTGTAATCCAAAAGCAGAGGGTCTCACTTTGAATGCCACAGGACTCACGTTTCTTTATTGGTACTCCCAGGTACAGGGAAGAAAGACTCCCATAAGAAAGCCGGAGGTCAGCTGTTAATCAGCTGTTGGCCTGCACGGGCAACCTGCATCATTAACTTGTCCACTGCCCCGAGAGAGGGCTTTGAGCCCTATGGGGCAGTATACAAACGACACACACTTTGCTTTTTGCAAATTCTGGATTAGAGCACCACGGGTCTAACTCAGTACAAAGTTACGAGGTTAAGCGTATTCAAGATTGCAGCCTCAATGAAAGCAGGGGTTTTTTCCTTGACCCACGTCAGAAGCACCACAGTCCAATGAATAAGTACGTCAGCTAATTATTGGGGAAATGTCAAGGTTGATGGGGGAGCTGATATCAAACCTTCCATACAGTAAACTCTGCTGCATAGAGTAAGTACCCCAATATCAACTTGGAAGTTGACTGTTCTCCATACCCACAACAGACATTCAGGGTAAAATCCCCAGTTTTCATAGGTTTGCTTTAATATCAAACCTTCCATACAGTAAACTCTGCAGCATAGAGTACCCCAATATCAACTTGGAAGTTGACGGTTCTTCTCCATACCCACAACAGACACTCAGCGTAAAATCCCCAGTTTTCACAGGTTTGCTTTGGTTCTGCCAGCCCTGGTCCGTAGCCTATTAACATACAGTGGTGCCCCGCATAGCGACGATAATCCGTTCCAGGAAAATCGTCGCTATCCGGAATCGTCGCTATACGGAACGAAAAACCCCATAGGAGCGCATTAAACCCTGTTTAATGCATTCCTATGGGGAAAAATTCATCGCTATGGGGAAAATCCTCCATCCGGCTGCCATTTTCACTGCCCGGTAAGCGAGGGCAGGGTGCGAAAACGCTGCGGTCGGCCATTTTCTTCACCCGGCGGCCATTTTGGAACTGCCGATCAGCTGTTTTCTAAACATCGCAATGCGAAAATCGGTAAGCAAAACGCTTACCGATCATCGCAAAATCTGCATCGCTATGCGGATTCGTCATTAAACGGGGCACTCGCTATGCGGGCCACCACTGTACTTCCAAGTAACCCAGGGGTTCAGCCCCTTTTAAGAGGTGGGTAGTTGCTTCTTTCCACATTATTGTCCTGCCATTCTCTGCTGTCCCTTCAAGATCTACAGGCGTTCTGAAACAAACTTTTCAGTTTTGTCTGGAAAGGGTGGAACTGGAGCTGAAGCACCGAAGGGCCATTGATATTGATTCATTATTCCAGTTTAATATACAGTACTGCTCCCATTAATGCCGCAGCAGTACTCTGGGCCCTTCACAATGAATACACAGTCAAAGAATTAACAGAATAAACCCATATACAATCTATAGCAGGCAAAAATCCAAAGAAATTAAACAAAGTTTAAAAAAAGACAAAAACATGTCGCAACTTAAAGGCTAACCATTATATTTTTATGTTTTCATTTCTTAGGATTCTGCCGGATATGCTTGCACAGACTAACATGGCTACCTCCTCCAAAACTATGACGGGAACAACCTAACCACATAAAAACAGAGGGTGCCAGAGTATTAGTAAAACTAAATGAAACAGAAGATGAGAACCAAAATACAGACAACAAATCATAGAATCATCATAGGGCTGGAAGGGACCTTAGAGGTCTTCTAGTCTGACCCTTTGCCCAAGGTAGGAGACTTCCTACCATCCCGGACCTCATACCCTCCCGGACAGATGGCTGTCCAAACTTTTCGTGAAAACCTCCAGCTATGGGTCACCCACCGCCTCGGGAGGCGAGCTGTTCCACTGCTTCATGTTTCTCACTGTCAGGAAATTCCTCCTTATTTCCAGGTTGGATCTCCCTCTGACGCGTTTCCACCCAAAGAGCTGGATGGAGATGCAAGATTACCACACTCAACTAGGGTCGGAGTGGAAAGCCTCCCTGAAGAGCCATGTTTTCCACTGCCTCTTAAATGCTGCCAGGATGAAGGCCAACAAAATCTCCTCCAGGAGCTGGTTCCACAAAGATGGAGCCACCACGAAGAAGGTCCTACCTCTTGCAGACATTTTATGGGCCTCCCTCTGGGTAGCTACCTGGAGGAGCCTCTACTGCCATGACCTGATGGGTCAGGGAGATGACCCACTGGGGCAAGACGCTCCCATTAGTGCCGCAGCACTACTCGATAGGCATCCTTTGAATCTTCCACCATCAGCTGCTGCTTCTCTCCATTGCTCTCTGAGTGCAACACCTGCTAGGTAACTGATTTTATCAAAAGAGAAGTGAAATGAAAGCACTGGAACAATGGTGTTTATTATTCCAAAAGTGTCTTTCTAACAGTAGAACAGATCCAGTTCCTCTTCATAAGAGGTTTTGGGGAATCCTCCAGAGCAGAGGTAGAGATGTAAACATTTACAAAAAATGTACAGAAACCTGTTTTTCCCCCAACCCACCCTTCTTTATCCTGGACCTATGGTATGACACAGAATTAAAATGAGAATAAGCAGAAACCTTATGGGTTAACATTAGCATGCAACAAAACCTCTACAAATCCTCGCATCCTCTAACTCCATTTAGAATAAACTAGGCCTTAGCTCTGGCAACTTGTTTCTCTATCACCAGAAGCACCACGAAAGGAGTGTGGCAGCTTCCACGTGCACAGAAAATAAACGTTTGGCCACGAAACTACATTTCCCCACACACACTGTTCCTGAGCCTTCAGAACACCATGGTCTAAGCGCCGTGGTTCTCCAACTGGGGTCCCCTGATGTTCTTGGACCGCAACTCCCAGAAATCCTGGCCAGCACAGAAAGTGGTAAAAAGGTAAAGGTTCCCCTTGACAATTTTTGTCCAGTCATGTTCGACTCTAAGGGGCGGTGCTCATCCCCGTTTCCAAGCCATAGAGCCAGCATTTTTGTCCGAAGACAATCTTCTGTGGTCACATGGCCAGTGTGATTTAGACACGGATCGCTGTTACCTTCCCACCGAGGTGGTCCCTATTTATCTACTCGCATTTGCATGCTTTCGAACCGCTAGGTTGGCGGGAGCTGGGACAAGCGACGGGGGCTCACTCCGTCGCGTGGATTCGATCTTACGACTGCTTGGTCTTCTGGCCCTGCAGCACAGGCTTCTGCGGTTTTAACCCACAGCGCCACCACGTCCCCTGAAAGTGGTGAAGGTCTTCTGGGAATTGCAGGCCAAGAACATCTGGAGACCTTAGTTGGAGAACCACACAGAGAACTCAAAAGTCCCCCTCCAAACTCAGGATCGTGCAAGACGAGGCCATCACCATTAAAGTGGCACCAAACTGCTATAGTGTTCCATAGCATAGATACACTCGTATTCAAACCAAGATAAGAATTTGTCCTATTCAATATACAGCGGTTTTTCATAGGGTCACCCCCTCCCGATGTTGACCACTTCCCTTGGGACAGACACCGGCTGATGGAAAGGGCTTCTCTCTCCCTCCACACTTGCTCCGGGGATTATAAGACCCTTCGGGAGCACATCTGGGGGAAAAAACAACACAGAAAGCAGTACAGGTGGTTCTACTTTGCATTGGAAGACTGACATGTACAGCCTAACAAGGAACCTTCGGATATTTCATAAAAACTGACGTAGCCTTCTAACGCAAGCTCTATTTTTTCAATCATCCTTCTGCAGTTCATTAGTGTTAATTCTATTATTTTGACCCTCTCATTTAAGCCTCTGTTGTGTATTTATAAGTACGTAGAAAATATTCAACATGAGCTTTGCTCCTCTCGTTCCACTGTGTTTTTACTTTTTAATTTAAGCCACTTTGATGGCCTTAAACAAAAATATAAATTACAAACGAAATGATTCTGGGATGGGAACTTTGTACCAAACACGACTGTCCCCCACCTTTTCACTTTTGATCTCACCAGAACAACCCTGCGAGGTAGGTCTGCAGAGAGAGCGTGACTCGCCCAGCATCTTCCAGTGAGTTTCACAAGGGAAGTTTTGCCTCCAAGCCCGGAATTTCCAAAATCGAATATACTGTAATGGAACTGCTACAACCGCCCTTACGACCTCCCACAGTCGCACAAGGTGTAATTTGATCATTACTAGTTACTCTTTTTCGGTTCCAAATTCCCCAGAAACGCCACCATAGGATGCCACTTGGAGCTGCCCTCCGAAAAAGTAATTTTTAAAACTCCGATGCCGTCTGAGTGGGAAACCACAAGACGTGTACTATTATTTTCACCTCCACCACTGAACTATATATTGCTTTTTGCAAAAATATATTTCACTTTTGCAATGGGCAAAAAAAAAAAAATTAACAGCCACCCCTCCCGGGACACAAAATAACCGTATTTCCCGATGCCAGTTGCAAATTTTTTTTGGGGGGGGGCAGAGAAAAACACCTTAAAATGCATGGAATGGAAGCGTTATATTAGCATAAATTAGCATAGGCACAGGTATGCATGTTGGAAAGGAGCCCGCAATCCATGCTGGGAGCGGATCGGTGCATGCACGAGGTGGGGCAAGGGATGGGGCGCAAGGGGGGTACTTTACCGGAATCTCCCCCGGGCACGGAAGGGGGCAGCGCCGCCACGTACAGAGCGGCCACCCCCGCGC